TGCTGTTTGCGTGTGGAGGAGCACAAGGAAGGTGGGGCTGGAGGTAACACAGGGCAAAGGAGCTCCCTAAATGAAAGTCTTGTCATCCTCCAGTCTGTACTCATATGCTTCTCCACAGCTGAGGGCTGTGTGCTCCCTGGAGCCATAGTGCCCCAGCTCTTCAAAGTGTGCACATGGCAGATGGCAGTGGATGCTCTCAATGCAGAATGGTGTGCAGCTTGATAGGCAAGGATAGAGGAACACAAGGGGACACCATGGCCCAGGGAGTTTGTCATCCTGTTGGAAGACCTATCCTGTCAGAACTAGATTCACAGCCTAGTTTGTTTGTTGGTTTGATATATATATAATTATTTTTTGTGATAATTACATCATTTCTCTATTTCCTTTTCCCATCTCCTAAACCCTCCTATGGACCCCACCTTGCTTTCTTTCAAATTCATGACCTCTTTTTCTTTAATTGTTGTTGTTGTTGTTGTTGTTGTTGGTGGTGGTGGTGGTGGTGGTGGTGGTGGTGGTGTGTGTGTGTGTATTCCTAAATATATAAATGCAACTTACTCAGTCCATGTTTCTTGTCTGTATGTTTCCAAGACTGGTCATTTTGAATTGGATAACCCATTGGTGTGCTCTTTCCTGGGGAAGACTGTTTCTGCTGCTCTCAGCATTCCTTAGTTGCTTGTTGGTTTTTTTTTCTAGAGTTGAGGCCTCATGAGATTTCCTCCTTTCATTTCATCATATCTATTGGGGTCATCTTTGTTCGGGTCATGTTTATGCAGCCATGTCAGTGAGACATTATGAGTGTGCTTCTGACATTTCCAGGAGACACAATCTGTTGGCAAATTTCTGTTCCTCTGGCTCTCACAATCTTTTTGCCCCTTCTTCCACAATGATCCCTGAGCCTTGGGCATAGGATTTGTGTTGAGTGTATCAGTTGGGACTGGGCTCTACAACACTTCACTTTGATTGGTTTAGTCATCTGTAATGGTCTCCATTTGTTGCAAAGAGGAGTTTCCTTGATGAGAGTTGAGAGCTCACTTACCTGTGGGTATAGGAATATGTGCTTAGAACGTAGTTAGGCTTATACTGGTTTAGTAAAGTGTTGATTGTGGATTCTCCTCCAAGATCCATGGCTTCACTAGCCTCAAGTAGCTGACTAGGTTTCTAGTATCCGGTATGATTTTCCTCTTATTGAACAGATCTGCAGTCCAATTAGAGAGCTGTTGGCACTGAGGTTTGTGTGCACCTGTAAGGTTAGAGAGAGTCATGCTGGTTGTTGCTGTGGTTCATAGGCATTGGCTGAAGAGGATTAGTGGTTGTTTCCCTGCTTTGAAAGCTTGCATGCTGCCTTCTGGTACCATGAAAGCTAGTCCTTAGGGAAAAGGCTTTCAGTCAGATCCAACTAGGGTCCTATTTCTGAAGTGCACGGTCATACCCTAGTTTGTGTGATACCATGTTGATGCTCTTTCTATGCAGTTGTGAGCATCAAATTCATTTCTCCAGGCCATGTCCCTAAAGAATGATACTTGGAAACTAAAACTTAGGCTTGGTTCTAAAATCACTGTGACGTGGCATTGCTCATTAAGCCCTTTTAGTAAAGGCAACTCAAAGGGCAACCCTTCCCCCCATCCTAACTCACCCTCCCCATTGTAACTCACCCAGCCAACCATTTCAAAAGAATCCCTTATTACATAGTCCTCCCTAGTGTTCCCTTCCCCATAGTTTCAACACTTTCCCTTTATTTTCAATACATCTCTCCCTTTGCTCAGCTCCCCTGTAAGTAATTGATCCCACCATTATTGAGTTCTCTTTGTCCCTGGGTGCCTGCTGGGACCAGCTCCCCAGCTTTCAGGTCTAATCCTTGGCCCTCCTGCCACTCACAAGAGAAGGAAAGGAGGCAAGCAGAGGGAGGAGGCAAAAAGGTAGAAGGATAAAATGATTTTTTAATAATCTAGTTTAAACTAAACTCTGTAAGAGATTACTTCCTCAAAATAATGCTTTTAAAAAAGCATTAACCTTGAGCCAAGCAATGTTCCAAAGAGTTTTAGCTCGTAATAAACCACTTCACTCGGGCACTAGTGCTTCCTTATTCTAGATGAAAACATGCGAACCTGGAGGCTTGTATGGACAAAACTCTAAAGAACTAATTTTAAAATGAAGGAAAAGAGATGGAGAGAACCAGCTGTTCAAATCTGTCTTCAATATTCACTCTTAGCCATTGAGATTCTTCTCCATCCCTGGCAGTTTCTTACAAAGTCCAAAACCCTTGACCCAGTAATTCTACTCTTATGGGTTAATTGAAAGCAAATAACAATGTATCATTTATACATAAACACTTTACATTAACTTTTAAAATTTCACAATAGTTAAAAAATACAGAAATTCCTTGGGTTTCTAGAAGTAGAGGGCTAAATAAACATTGTTGATATAAAATAAACTGTTTGTTGATACAGTAGACTATCACTCATCTCCAAAAAGGAACACTGAATCTGGGGACATGGGTCAGTGCTAGAGCTCTTGCCTACCATATGCAACGCCCTACGCTCGATTCCCAGCCTTAACAAGAGAGAAAGAAACATTGTCAGGGTGTGATGATGAATACCTGTAATCCTAGCACTTAGGGGCCTGAGGCAGGCAGGTTGCTAGGTCAATATCATCCCGGGTTATATAATATCTTGTCTCAAAAAATACAAAATTAAAAATTAAAAGAAACTTATATTGATATATCAACAATGTAGGCAAATCTTAGACATTATGCTAAGTGAAAAAGTTAGACAGAAAAATGTACCACACAGTAAATAATTCAATTTATATGAAATCATAGGATAGGCAAAATTCAATGAAACTAGGAGAGGGGATGGGTGTTTGATGTAGGAGTGGGAGTTAGCCATAATTGAAGCAACCCAGACAGAGGATTGTCTAAAGATGTCGAAACATGTATCTTAATTGATATGTGGGTCCCATGAGTGTATTTATATGTCAGTATTGAATGGGTAAAATTTGCACATTTTATGGGTATGTATTATATACATACATATCACCTTAAAGAAGAACTGTGGGAAAAGAGCAATAGTGGATCATGCTTGGGAAGTAAGTGGCAACATCCGGCCATTGCTGAAGCTGAGCCCATGTGCAAGGAGGGCTCTTATACCCCTGAACTTATTTTGCATATCTTTGAAATTCAGTTCTGCATAGCGCAGGGTTCCAAGCCCTTACAAAATGAGGTGCTAGCTTAACAGATTTCAGTTTGGCAAAGGGAAGCTTCTCCATTTCAGTACCAGAGGTGGGGAGTGCTGGTGGGACTCAGTGGCGACATGAGGCATTCTGGATAAAATATCAGGGTGACCCCGCGGGCAGAGATGAGCAGAAGGTCAGTAACAGAAGCCAGTGGCGATAATGACAGACTGCTTCATGACTTTGACCTGATGTTCTCACCCATGCCCCACCCTCTGGAGCCACCGTGGATTGCATCATTCACCTCCAGCCTCAGCTCTCATTTCCAAGCTGATGGTAGATTTCTGGCATGTGCTCTGTTCCCCATGCCCTGCTCCTCCAATGCATCTCACAGACCGGTAGTAAGCTTCTCTGATAGACATTATCTTACTCAGTATGAAGGGGAGTTTTGTGGCTGAGGGTCTTCTAGTTCGTATTTCATGGAGTTCAGAGAATTGGAAGGCGGCAACTAGACCAAGTCATCCGGGTGTCCAAGCTGATGCATAAACTGGACATTCTTTTAAACCAACATTACTTAAATATTAGTCTTGACATTTTCCTAGTGGAGACAAAAAGAAACATGTTTTCTTCTAATTTTCAATAAAGGAATTAAATCCACTTTGCCTACTAAATTAGACAACTTCTTGGGAGGCATGTTTAAAAAATACATACAGTCTAAACAACGAACTGTCCCTCTTCTCTCTTGTCAGACTACAGCCTCCAGGCTGGTGTAAGCTGCTGTAGGCGAGGGTAGGTTAGGGTAGACTGGTGTAGACTAGGTATAGGGTAGACTGGTGTAGGCTGGGGTAGGCTGGGTAGGCCAGGGTAGGTTGAGGTAGGCTGGGGTAGGCTGGGGTAGGCTGCTGTAAGCTGGGTAACCTTGCATTTCAGACTCTCAGTGTCTATGACACTTTAAATCTGCATCCAGAGAACTCTACTCTGTCAGAAGTGGGTTCATCTCACTCAATGGATGTGGACCCCTGTGAAATGTGAGCACCAACAGCTAACTGGGCTAGTCAGAACCTTACTGATGGGCTTCTAGGCAGCCTTGCAACTGACCTTCATGTTCTCTGTCTGGGCCAGGAAGTGGTGGCATTGGGCTGTGGACATGAGACCTGCTGAAACTGTGTATAAAAGAACAAAAAGAACCCCCCGCCAAAAAAAAAGAAAAGAAAACGGAACAAGAAAGCTAGTGCCTTCCTGTCAGCTTTCCTGAGATCGTGTTTTTTGTGTGGGCAATGTGCCACTCAATTCCTTCAAGTTGGTCTCTTCTGTCTCCTCCAGCTCTGCCATGCCCTAAGTCAGCTTGGCAAAGTAGAACACGTGAGTTCAGAGGTCCAGAGATCACAGGACCAGCTTAACCCCAGCATCAGTTTCTTTACCAGCTCTAACGCAGTGCGTGGACTCGGTGAAGTCACGTGTGGAGAAGACCCAGCAGAGCCTGGTCTTGTACTGCATCCTGCTGCCTAGACTGGAAAGCACCCAGAAGGGGCTTTTCACAGGGCACATGCTCAGCTGGTACCCATTGTTTTGATCTGTGCTCTCAGCCTCTGCATCTTGTCCTCACTTCTGCTACCTCCTCCCACTTCTTCTATGTCTGTCTCATTTTGCCAAATTGTTCATTCATCGGCCAGAACACAGTGTGTACCAAGGCTTGCACTAACTGTTAGAGAATCTGCAATAAATAATATCCGGGACAGATTGTCACACAAGGTTAGGGAATATGTATGGGGAGTCTGTGAGAGCCCAGCAGAAGGTACCCCTGAATCTTAGCCCTTTCATCTCCTCCCTAGGAGATCATCACCTCCATCCTGCTGAGTGGGCGAATAGGGCCCAACATCCAGCTGGCTGAGTGCTATGGGCTGAGGCTAAAGCACATGAAGTCAGATGAGATCCACTGGCTGCACCCACAGATGACGGTGGGCGAGGTGCAGGACAAGTATGAATGTCTACACGTGGAAGCTGAGTGGAGGTAGGAATGGTACCCTCCCTTCGAGCATTCCCAAGGCTCAGAATTTTCTAGAAAATTTGAGTGGCTTTCTAGAACTTAGTCCTCCCCCAGTGTCCTGATGCAAGTATTTTCAAAATATAACCTGGATTCATAGCATGTCCCCATCCCTGGACAGTAGGCATAGTCCCATACAAGATGCTGTTGTTGCTATGGCAAAGGGGAACAGAGGGTGGGGAAGGAGGAGAGCCCAGGTCAAGGGCTGGTCTTTGAGCTAAGGAAGCTAGTATCCACTAGGGAGAAGAGATGATGGGGCTAGCTAGCCAGGAGCCCCAGTGCCTGCTGGCCAACCCCTGGCATGCTCCTCTCCCTGGTCAAACTCAGGAAAAGGAGAAACTGCTCTGGAGCCATGGGCAGAGGCTTCATGGATAGCCCTTGCATGCTGAGGGCTAGAGTAGCTTTGGCCCCTCTTGGGAATTTGGCTTCCCTGTGTCTACCAGAGTCTGTCTGTTACAGGTATGACCTTCAAATCCGCTACTTGCCAGAAGACTTCATGGAGAGCCTGAAGGAAGACAGGACCACACTGCTGTACTTTTACCAACAGGTGAAAAGCAGCCCGGTGTATCATGGAACTTTAAATGCTGTTACATCCATTCTCTTCAGGGGAAATAGAAAAATGAGGCCCAGCTTTGTAGAAGGCTTCCCACTGAGGCTGTTTCTTATGCTTCCAGCTCGCCTTGAGCTTCTGGGTGGACAGGTACCTGGCTAGAGAAGCAGGAAAAGCAGCTTAGTGCACAGGCTCTAAGAGGTGTGCTTTCCAACACACCTCTGCTATTTTCTGGGACTACCCTAGCAGTCCCAGGGACTGCATGTGCATGAATCTGTTCTCCTCTCTTTAAGTCTGGAATAATAATAATGACATCTGATTTAGAGAGCTGTTATGAGGACCAAGTAATGCCCATGGCAGGATGCTGGTGCCTTGGCCGAGGAAGAGCCAGTCACGCTTTGTAGTTCCTACCAATTCTCATGGTGTAAATGCTCCTGTTGTGGCCTCTTTTAAGCTACCACATGGCACCCACCAGCTCACAAAACTTTTTAAAGTGTCTTGGGTGGCTCTCTTGGGCTGTCTGAGCCTCTCTCACATACTGTGGGGCTAAACAAGTACCTGACACAGCACCTGCACAGGGGAAGCTCTGAAGCAGTGAGAACGGAGCAGGCACCACCAGCTCCTTTCCGGTCTTTAGCCTGTACTTTCCTCTTGTTGGTAGACATCAAGCCAGATGCTTCTTGGACTCTGAGTGACATCCATAACCATTTATCAACATGGACTTAGATAATTCACCAACTCCTCCTCCAAATTTTCCTTCCTTCTTTCCTCCCTCCCTGCCTCCCTACTTCTTTCCTTCCTTTCTCCCTCCCTACTTCCTTCTTTCCTTCCTCCCTGCCTCCCTACTTCCTTCTTCCATTATCTTTCTTGCTTACTATTCCCCTCCTTCTCTTTTATTTTTCTTACAATACTAAGGGATGTATCTAGGACATCGCGCCTGCTAGGCAAGTGTTCTTCCATTAAGCTGAATACTCAGCCATTTTTTTTCCCTCTCCAGCATCTCATTTTTATTTTATCTGTTTTTTGAGACAGGGTCTCTCTATGTAACCTAGATGTCCTGGAGTTCACTGTGTAGACCAAGCTGGCCTGGCACTTATAGAGATTCATCTTCCTCTGTCTCCCAAATACTGGGATTAAAGACACATGCCACCATTCTGGCTCTCATTAAGTTGATCCGGCTGGCCTTATCAAACTCCCATAACCCAAAGGGACCTTGAACTTGCAATCCTCCTGCTTCAGCATCCAGGGTAGCTGAGATTACAGGCATGAACCACTGAGCCTGACTTCTTTATTGCTATCTCCAAGATGGCAATGGGAGAGGGGGATGGAGACACTAGTCTATGGAGGGAAACTGTCTTGGTTGCTTTTCTTTTGCTGTAAAGAGGCATCATGACTAAGGCAAGTTATAGAAGGGCTTAGTAGTCCTTTAGTTTCAGAAGATGAGTCCAAGATCATTATGGTGGGGGGTGTGGCAGCAGGTAGGCAGACATGGTCCTGGGGCAGTAGCTGATACCTTGCGTCCTTATCTGCAGGTAAGAGGCAGAGAGAGGGAGAGACACTAAGAATGATCTGGACTTTAGAAACATCAAAGCCTGCATCCAGTGATACACCTCCTCCAAAAAAAGCCACATCTCCTCATCCTTCCCAAAGAATTCCTACAACTGAAGACCAGGCATTTAAATTTATAAGTCTATGGGGGTCACTTTCATTCAAACTAACAACATATACATGAGAGACATAGCCCAGGAGGCATCTGTGTGTTTACCTCCTAGGGGCTTGTGCTCTGGGAAGAAAAATTGAGGGTGTGTGTCTGACCCTTGGCCTTTCTCCCACCAGCTCCGGAATGACTACATGCAACGCTATGCCAGCAAGGTCAGTGAAGGCATGGCTCTGCAGCTGGGCTGTCTGGAGCTCAGGTAGGTAATTGTGAACACTCTTCAGGGAGAACACAGTGCTGGCTTTGAACTTGTTGGCTTGTCCCTCATCTAGAAAGTAAAAGAGGGCATATGAGAAACAGGAAGAGCAGAAAAGGCTAACGGCCTGAAGGTCTCATCATCTAGTCTTCACGATAGACAAGGGAGAAGGGCAACTTCTGCTCGGTCTGGTCTCCTTCAGCACCTTGGCCTGTCCCTACCCTTACCTCTGAGACGCCTGTTTCTCCCACCTGCCCATCACTGCTGCTGTCACTCAGTGATTCAGAAGTGCTTCTGGGACTATAGCCTTGGAGTAGGAAACCTCCCAAAGACAGGTATTTCAGTCTGGGCTACCCATTGCTGCATCCCAAGCTCCAAGCTGTACTCAGTCTGTACATATGTTAACACACCATCCAAACATGACTTCCAATTCACAGTGTGTGGAGGTGGCATGTGTACATAGTTCATTATAATCAGAGACAAAATGAGTATGTCCCAAACAGTCTTCTACCAGGAGATATTAACCAGAAGAAGAAAGTTGAACTGTTCCTAGGAGGAAGTGAAAGATAATGGGTGGGTTTAGGGTGGGGAACTGGGGCGTTTCCAGAACCAGGGATTAGTGCACACAAAATCCTTGGTTGGGGAACCACAGGGTATGAGATAGTGGAAGCAATGACCATTATGATGGCAGGCTGGTGGTATCATTAAAATGACATCACTAAAGTGAGACAGAGGGACAGTCTAAGAAACCAGGCTTTAACTCTTAACTGTTGGGTCTCATTGCCATTTGGGGCAGAAGAGGATCCTATGGATAAACGTGTGCTCTTAGCCAGGTCTTGACCAAGGCCACAACACCTTAAGTTTGATGACCCATCTGCCACTCTACCTCCCTCCCCTACTTTGCACCCCCATCTGTGTAAAAGCAGCTTCAACATCTGGCTGCACATTATAGTTACCTGGGAGGTAGATACACTAGCATCCTACCCTACAGTCTACAAGACCTGTGTGGGACCTTAGAAGATGAACTTTCTTTCGTCAGCTTTGGAGGTGGTTTAGATACAGTTAGCCTCATTGGAATTGCTAGAAAACTTTCAGTTGCCAGGGAAACCCTGACCAAGTGTTACTTCCAGTTGGCCCAATGAGTCGTTCTGGGGGGATTCTGATTCTACCCATGACTTCTAAGTTGACTGAGGATAGAACTCTGCTGCCACTTCCATGGGACTGGGGCCTTGGAGAGAGGTTGATGGGCTCCATGGGAGGGACTGTGCAAATATCCGGTGAAGGTTCCACGTTGATTTGTGTAGCTGGGATGGCTGGCCTGTTAAGGACTTCTCATAGCCTTACAAATAGTGGCAGTTGGTCCCAACAAGCAAGGACCCATGAGCATCACCATAAAGGCCTGTCATCTTAGGTGCTCAGAGCTGGTGCACGAGGGATGTCTTGAGGTTTGTTAAATGTGCTCCTGTCTGTCTTCTGGGTCTGCTGGAACCCTGGAGCCTGCACCGTATACTACAAGATTCCTTTCAGAAATGAGACAATTCAGAAAAGCAGTTCTATTAAGCTTTGTATTTGTGGGGCTCATGCTAGACTGTGGTGTCATTTTGAGACTCCAGTAATCTACTGGCAAATGATTTCATATTCATACACTCTCCAACCATCTCCAAACTGGTATTGGTTATAACCTAAGTGCCAAGCATGGTACTCAAGGGCTAGACAACCAGAGAGGCATCTGAGCTGGCCTCTAAAGACAGTCTCATCAAGAGTGCACAGTGTCTATTCCCTAGTCACTTTAGAGTTGTCCCCAAACCAATACTTGATTAATGATCCAACATCCTGCCATATGTGTCCTATGCCTCAGAAAGAGGCAGGCTCTGACTCTGGGGGCCAGGGATGTTCTGTTCCAGAGGGGATGTGGACAACATCTACCCAAACCTAGTAGGCTTCCAGGCCCAGTGATTTTCAAATGGAAAGCTAGAATGCCAGGTTTACATGGTGGTGTGGTGACTGAATCTTTAAAATCAGATTACCACCATTGCTCACCAAGAGTAGGACACATTTCTGAAAATCAGACTGTAAGGCAGAACCTTCTAGAACTGTAGTTCTTTGCTGAAAATCATGGGCAATATTGCCTCATTCTACTAAGATCACAAGTTATATAACCTGCCTATCGATAAATGACATCAGAAAAGAATAACATACCATTTCCTGACTTAATGACGTATGATATGAGCATAAGACTGGTGACATCAACCTCATGGGACCAGGTTCCTGTTGGGAAGAATTGGGCTCATTGGGAAGACCCAAGAGTCTAAAGTGGGATGCCTGGACAGGACTCTTAAGATTTTGTTTGCCATGTTGCTCTTGACAAGTTGCTTAATCTCTTTGTGCCCTGATTTCTTAATCCGTTTCTCCCATACATTGATTCTTTAAAACAAGATCAATGTTAGCAATAACAATCTTGAAGGGCTGTTGGGGAGCACAAGTTAGTTAATATATTTAGAGCTCTTAGAAAAAGGACAGGGACAGATGTGCTCTAGAATTAGTTGTTCATTCATTGAATGTATAAGGGGTCTGGGGTATGGAGAACCCCAAAGAGAGGGAGATGGGGGCCAGGAGGAGGTCACAGGCCCTGACAGGCACCAGAATGGAAGAGAACTGTGCGGGGAGATGAGGTAGCCTGCCTGTCTCTGTGAGTGGGCAGGCTAGAGCCTTTTCTTATTGCTCTTAATTATATTTGTGGTACAGAATTTCATGTATTCCAGGCAAGCGCTCTAGCACTGCAGCTGACCCCTCAGCCCCAGTTTACTCATCTTTATTGTTATTTAGAGAAGTTTTAGGTCCACAGCAAAAGTGAGCAGAGGGCATAGGGATTTCCCACAGATCCTGGGCCCTGATTATACACAGCTTTCTCTGTTTGGGTGTCCCTCGAGAGCAATGCGATTCCTACAGAGCAGTGTGATTCCTGCAGTCGGTGAATACCCACAGATACACCAGTGTCACCCAAAGCCCACAGTTCACATCAAGGTTCACCTCAGTGTCACACAGTCTGGGAGTGTGGACTCTTGAAATGCCATGCAGGAGTCTCATTGCTTGGAACATCTGATTGTCTCTACCTTCCTGGCCACTGCTCATGTTTTTATTGTTATCATGGTGTTGCCTTTCTCAGATCACCATATAGTTGAAATGATAGCTAATTGACATTTATTTATTATTTATAGAGAAGCACTTTATAGATGCCAAATGCATCACTTAGTGTAAATATCCTACTGCAAATTAAAATGTGAAGTCCATGGGCCATCTACTAGAAATTAGTCAGAAAGACCAAGTAACTTATCTGCTCTGACCTGAGGCTACCAGGAACACTTCCCCATACCCAGTATAACAACAGAATTTTCTGAACCAAAGAATCATAGTGATTGTGTCATCTAGGATTTGTTAGGTAATGACTTTTGACAAGTCAAGATTAGGATCAGAGAAAGAATACTCACCTTGCTTTGATTCAGAAGGAATTTGACCTCGTGGTTAACCTATAAATGTTGACAACAAGTTAACTTTTTTTTTTTTTGTTACAGCCAAGTGGATTTAGCATGTCTTTATTTTCTTTAGTCCTGGGGATTGAGGGTGTGTATTAGTCATGAACCTGTATCTGCCCATAGACTACTGCCATCTAGTGTTTGCTTCTCAGTATTGCAGGCTCAGCCTGGTGAGACCCAGCTAGTGCTAGGGGTGCAGCTTCACTCGGTGATGGGTGTTCCTTGACAGCCACCCATGTGGGAGGATCTCATCACAGAGTCCCTGGGAAGAGCAGGATCTGCCCTCCAGGACCTCTGAATGATGTGTGATGGTTCCAAGCATTGGAAACACAGGAACTGAAGCAGTCAAGTTATTAGACATGTCTGTTGCTGGTGATTCTAAGACCACTTTGTAGGGGAAAGGGGGCCATTAGGGATGGAAGCAGTGAGCTATGAAAACTGTACATCAGAAGACTGGGGCAAACTGAGCCTCCTTTTCCTAATTCAATAATATCCTATTCATTACTTCCCAAAACAATCTAAAAATGCTGCTGGTTTTGGGTTTCATTCCAAAATGTGTTATCCTTGTGCTCAGCAAAATTTCATTTTTGACACAGGGCCTCATGTAGCTCAAGTCACCTTCAAACTATGTGTCTGAGGATAACCTTGAATTCCTTGTCCTCCTCCCTCTACCTCCAATGTGCTGGGATAACAGGGGTGCAGTGCACCACCATACTTAGCTCAAAACTCCTTTAAAATATACTGTTAGATATTTGATATACATATTTCTTTTAATCACAAATCTCAAATGCCATTCATTCATTTGTCCCGCAAGGGCTGTATACCCCAAGTGACCTTAAGGGAATACACTCACCTGTTCTAGGAGGACAGTCTCTTCATTGGATTCATTCCCTCTGCTTGGCCTGCTCTTTCCTTCCCCCTCTTCAGCCTGAGAAAGTCTTCCTTTTTAAGTTTTGTCTTTGAGTGGCACATAGTGATCACATGCATTCATGAACATGTATGATTTCTTTATGGTAAGAATGTCCCAAATCCCGTTGCTTTTGAAATATTAAATCACTATTAGCATGTCACCCCATGTACCATAGAGCACAGAGTTCTTTTCTCATCTCTCCCTTTAACATTACAAGGCGGTTGGGGGTGGGGTGTAACTACTTCCATATTTGGGCAACTTCTTTAAACTGTGTAAGTCGATATTCCTGCCTGGGTTTATCTGCTGAGATAATTTTAAATCAGGCCTAGGAAGCATCTATTTAAGGAAGTGATCATCCTCTCTCCCTGATGGGCCAGCCCAAGAATCTCTCCATCCTGAAGGCTTTTCTGTCCCCCTCCCTTGGCTCATGCATCTTCCCACAAGCTAGACTGTGACATCTGCCAGATCCTTGACTTTAGGTTGGTTCTGTCTACTCCGGCAAAGAAAATCTTCAATGGCTTCGTGTCTTAGTTTTTTTGGAATCATTTTCAATCTTAAGC